ATATTATATTATATTATATTATATTTGAGTAAACGTGACTATTCTCTTAACACCCCGAAATCAGGAACTTGACCTTGATTATCACAGTCACACATCACGCAGAAAAATCACACGCACACTCATGGTGTCCTTGTACTGTCAGCGCACTCTGTCCTTACGTCCTTCAAGATGCAGCGGTGAACGATGCATCGATCGGGGGCATGACGTTATTGGCAGGGCTGTGAGATATTTAAGTAAAACGATTTTATTTAATCCTCTGGGGTCATATAGTGTGTACTGAAAAACATTAATAATCATCATCATTATCATCATCATCATAATCCTGGTTTTCATATAATTTATTATTATTATTATTATTATTATTATTATTATTATTATTATTATTATTATTATTATTATTATATGACCTAACTCTTTATTTTTCCCGAGGACTTGAAGAGCCTAAAAGGAACAAATATTTAGAATGAAATGAAAATAGTTCTAAATGTATGTTGACATCTAAAGCCTATAAATAAATTTTAGCGGGTTTAAGGCTGCTTAAACTCCCAAGCAGGGGCATATGGAAGCGGTTAGAAAGAGACTGGAATTGCCCTGAAAACTATAATGTGTTTATGGTGACTGTTGAGTCATTTGGCTGTCACTTCACATAGCACTCAGTTATTTCGTTTGAGGGAAAACGTCACGAAAATGACGAATGTCGTTGTGGTGTCGGGATCAAGTCGCAGTCTGGTGCTGAAAGCACGGGTGGTCTCGGAGTGACAACAGCGCCGAAGAACTTTATGGTGCATTAAGCTATCAGTGTGCACGCAGTGATTACATACTGCGTGGGACTTGCATGAGAAATTAAAGAGTGTTTTTAAAGATGCGCCCCTGATATCTTTGTGTTTGTGCTCGTTGCTCGCAGTGGTTTGAGGAAGAGCAAGTTCCACTTCTATTCTGGTCACAAGCCTTTAATCTTACAGCAGAGATGGAGCTTGGATGGTCAGTGCGCATTCGAGCTGAAAATCCATACAAATTAGTTCAGTCTCAAATGGTCCGTTTTCAAAGCTCTTTTCCTCTGCGTGAACCTCCCCGTGGCGGATCTGTAGCTTGCATTATAAGTCTCGCGATTTTTATTGGCTTCGTTTTCGTTCCTGTCGTTATTTAACCGTTTAACCACCTTTGCACACGCTTGATGTGGATTTTAATGGTCTGATGCGGCGCATAATGACTCCCTATCAGCGTGGGCGTGCGGAGAAAACTCTCAATAGCGCGCTAATGTTTTTTCCACCTCATTTACTCTGCAAATTATACATCGAGGATATCAATTAACACTGTGGATATACCGGGAAAGGCGCTAATCATAATGATTTCCCAAAAGCTGTATGCGACTTTTATTAGATGTCCAATTTTAGCTAACAAGGAGAAGAAATAGAAATGAAATAAAGGCTGCTTCTGAGTAAAGAAAGTAGTCATGTGTTGGTTTTCGTTTCAAAGACTTTCAGTGAGCTGTGCTGAGGGGAAAACACAGGAGTCAGCCCTCCCACCCTTCATCCTTAATAATCATCTGTCAAAACACCCGCAAACTAATTTAACCATTTGCGCGCAGATCTGGTAAATAAAAGAGGCTTTACACCAGCTTCTGTCTGGAAACATGTGCTCCAACAACTCTGAAAAAGACCAATAGGCCTGTTTTCTGTAGCCGGACTTGTCCCACTGTTTCTTTTGAACGTATCCCGAGACAACACAGATGACATGAAAGCCGAGCAAACCGAGGGCCTTTTGAGAAGATTGCTTTTCAGGGTCCAAATGTATGTGGCTGGTCTCACAGGGGACCGCTCGCTGTGCGCACATTCACTCCCCTGGGCCAGGGGTCCACACTGACAACATCAACAAACGGCCAAAAAAGCCGCATTATGGTGGATTAGGAGCCTGGTGAAAAATGCTGCTACAAATTAGCAACGAAAGCCCAAAAGACCGTGGGTATATCCTTGTTCACTTTCAATTACAGACCGCCGAGGCCCGCTAATGTTCCCATTCATTTAAAGCCTTTGTAACTCGCTAGAAAATGGTCCTTTACAAGCGAGCAAGAGCCACACAAGGGGAATGCATGCCCACTGTTGCGTGATATTCGTGAGTGTTATAAACGTCGAGACGTGTTTGAAACATTTAAAACCGAATTTTGTGGGTTTCGTTTCTCACAGCTTAAATTAGTCTTAATTTAGCGGACTGCGTGCCCAGGACGCCAAATTTGTTTAATTGGTCAAATCAACACCTGAATTAGTCACATTTAGGAATTGAACGACTGATACAAACATGGTTAATACTGTGGGTTATTCTGGTGGGCAGGATATGGACTGTAAGTGTCATTATAAATAAATAAATAAAAGTAGCTTAAATGCAATGAAAACAACGACATTTAGTTTTCAGTTTAAAAAAAATGTTGCAAATATAACATGAATGCAATTCGTTATTGTTCAGTCTATGGCGTCGAGGCTGCTTGAAGGTCATCTTCCTATGCAATAAAAAATAAAACATTTCTTTAAGTCACAAACATTTATTATTCTCGTCATTACAACAAAAATGACCTATGAACATTTAGGTGTTTTTCTATTGGCAACACATGACATACTGTATGCTTCACAGATTAAATTGCGAATAGGTAGGAACGAACAATTAAAAGGTTGAGAGAGGTAATACGCTCTTTAATACCAAAAGTCACATAGCCTAAGGGTCCACTGACAACATGAAATGATATTGTCACAAATTTACCATGTAGAGAAGATTCAGGGGGAGTGATAGTGGAAAAATTGTAGTGTTATTTTTTTTTTAAATTTCAGAAACACCCCTTTGTCTCCGTGTGCTTTCTAAGTAAAAACCTGAGTTTACAGTCTCTTGTCAGCATATCTCAACAACAGTGCCACTTTTTCTATAGACACAAAATAAAAATTAAAAAAACAATATAAATCAGAATAAAATTCTCAATTGTATTTTGGAAAAAAAATCAAAAATAATCCCCGTAACCACTTAAGACACATTTAACTTATGTTAAAATAACAGACTCCTTTTTTCCCCTCCACTGACAATTGAAGGCCACATGCCACACTGCAGGCCAGCATTATTTAAAAAGCTCCCTCTCCGAGTTTCTCTTGCTTTTGTCTCTCAATATTATACACATATTTACACCCTATAAATAAACCTGTCTCTCCTCGTACACTGTTAAGAAACTGGGAGAACAAGAAACATTCTTACTTCACGAAGAATGTTTACCCTACCTTCACAGAGGACGACGCCACAATTGATTTTTTTTTTCATGAAAAATATTCGGAGGGCATTCTGGCAGTCTTTTCTTTTTCTCCTATTTCTTAAAAAGGGCAAGTGTTCATATTCGGGGTTTTACTGGAAAAAGTTTGACTCTGCGGCCCAGGTTGTAATATGCTCTCCTGTGATAAGTTCAAATGACTTGAGGCAGAGGCCAGTGCTGGGGTCAGCATGGCCAGAATCTGAGCCTGGCTTCCCGGCTGTGCGCTGTAGGAAGAAGCGGTGGAGTTGGCTGCACCAATGATATTATCAATGGAGAACGAAGGTCGACTCGGGGCGCTGGAGTCCGTCTTGAGGGGTGGCAGAGAGGGGCTTAGCTGAGGATAAAAAGGCTTTCTTAAATCGGTCCCTAAAAGGGAGGGCAGATGATGCGGCGCGGGGAATATGGAGGCTGATGAGGGCAAGGTGCAGGGGGCGTTAGGGAACGGGAAGGAACCACCTGTGTGGTGTGGGTGGTAAGGGTTGTGGGCTGCGTGGAAGTTCTGCAGCTGAAGTCCATAGTTGTATCCATACGGCGCATATCCAAATCCTGGTAGAAAGCCACCGGAGTCCCTGAGGATATCGTTATTTTGGTGCCTCTTGAAGCGCTTCCGCCTGCGCAAGAAGCTCCCGTTGTCGAACATGTCTGCGGAATCCGGGTCGAGAGTCCAGTAGTTGCCCTTCCCGGGGTTGCCCGGCTCCCGTGGGATTTTCACAAAGCAGTCGTTTAGGGAAAGGTTGTGACGAATGGAGTTTTGCCACGCGGGGAATTTTTCCCGGTAGTAGGGAAATCTATTGCTAATAAACTCGCAGATCTCACTCAGAGTGAGGCGTTTCTTGGGGCTCTGCAGGATGGCCATGGTGATCAGAGCGATGTAAGAGTACGGTGGTTTCACAAGTGCACTTTTTCTGGGTTTGTCCCCAATCACAGTCCCGGTCTCTGCATTGGACCCGACCTGATCTGACGGGCAGTCAGAGCTGCTGAGCCCTGGAGAGGCAACTCTCTCGGCCGTGTTCTGGGAGTAATTATCGTCCGAGTCATTGTCGAAGTTGAAGTCATGGTGGATGTACTTTCCGTCTTTTCCAACCGATATGTCACCACCAACCACATCGATGTCCACATCCTCGGACAATGCAGAGCTGTCGGACATATCCGTCCCTAAAGTCATCCTTGGAGTTGCCGCTTGTCTTCCTCCTCTCTCCCAGATTTCCTCCTGCTCTCGTCCGGTGAGGCTACAGAGCGAGAGCGCGCACACACCCTTTCTCTCTGCCTTACAACCACACAAGGGTTTTATTGCAGCTTTATCTCCAACTACCGAAATCACACATGGCTAAAATTGAAAAAGACAAATAACTCTTTGACCTGTGGATTTGGCGTGTCCTCGGAGTCCGAGTCTGGTCAAGCGGGGCCGTGCGACGCTCTCATCGAGAAAACTTCTGGGAGTCACGCGTAAAAAAACAGAGTCAAAGATCAACGATCTTGCACCGATAAGAAGTCGTGTTTTCTTCAGACACGATGGTTTCCGTCTGTGATCACTTCAAGCTTATTCTTATTATTCAAAAACCTACTTCGGGGCATCCAAATGTCTTTTCAAAAAAGCTTTTACGCACAAGATTGGGTAGGTATCCAGCCAGACTGTCACACTATCCTCCTTAGTGCTCAAAAGGTATTTATAGGGCCACGCTGGTCACGTGGTCTTTGAGTCACTGTTACCAGGAACTGGACGAAATTATCCAGCAAAAAACAATATTTGCATTTGCTCTTGAATATTATATTATATGTTAAAATGTTATAATAATAACAGAAACACTCAAGTCTAAACAGGTTGAAACGACATCTTTGTATATGTACATATTTTAAGACCTCCAAGTGCGAAGATCTCAAATGTTCTGTGCATATTTTATGCTTTATCAGAGGGGAAAGAATATAAGAAATAGGCATGTGAATGTATGTGTTAAAAGTGAAAAACTGTCTTACTGGTAGCTTCTTATTCACTTAAAAAAAAAAAAGAAGAAAGTTTCATAACTGGACATGAAGTGTTTGATTCACTTAAAGAAAACACCGTGACTTCAGGGGAAGGTGCACCACTGATGGTGACTGATCATAAAGAAGATTATAAAATTATTATTATCATTATTGATAATAATAATAATAGTAATAATAATAATAATAATAATAATAATAATAATAATAATAATGCACGCATATTGAGTGAAACCAAAATTTTGAAAAGATAATAACAACTTGCAGCTCAATTTATTATTATTACTAGTATTATTATAAAGCTTTTTAATTGAGGTTAATTTATGAAGTAGAATGCACAGCACTTTAAAATCCGAGTGTAAAATCGATTTTTTTAAATATACATATTTTACTAAAATAGTCCTCGACACTTCTTTTTAATTTTTTTGTTCAGTATTTTACATTTTTCTTTCGATTTTAACTAATGCAACGTAACCTTAAATCCATTTTGTTTATTCAAGTATCCAAAGTGCTGCATAAATAAGTTGTACAAGCGGAGCATGCACAACTGTCTGAAAGGTTTCAGACAGGCGCATAATTCCGTGATTCAAACGAAGAAGAAATTCTCACGGGTTTAGTGTTTTCCTCATCAACAATTCGCAGCATTATTCGTGGGCATTTTCTGCATATTTTACAGTGTTACACGGGGGTATAGTGTGCCGCAACCTGCTTCAATTCATCTTCGTGAAAGGCCAGGAGCAGATGACAAAGTGCAATGTGTGCGGGCTTATTTAAAGCAGGCGGACATTCCAGTTCATTATGGGGCAGAAACATCGAATTACTGTAATGCGTTTACATCAGCACCCCATCAATCCTAGCTACAGGTCAAACAGCAAACAGATCAGATTCATATATGTCATCTTTTTTGCTTTTAGGGTTTTTTGTTTGTTTGTTTTTGGTTTTTGGCACGTCAAAGAACAAGACTTTCATGCGTTTTCGACTACACTTGTTTTCTTTTTGTTGTTTGTTGCCTTTTCTTGAACTGTGTGTGTGTGTGTGTGTGTGTGTGTGTGTGTGTGTTGTTTTTACTGATAGAGCAAGTTCAAATCGAGCATGAGTAACCTTAAACATGGATTCGCTTGCTGATCCATGTGTCCTGCTCTCTGACCTGCCTGTCACAAGTCTTTTAAAAATCTGAAATAGACGCTCTGACACCTGCCTGACAGCTACCCAAGAGACATAACACGTTAATTTAGATCATTCTTACGGAACTTAAGGCCCAGCCTTAGTTTTATTCACAGATCAGCGAAAATATTGCTCTTATTTCTTTATTTATTCCCTCTATTATCTTTTAAAACACCGACCATATGTCACAATGACCTGCCTTACGAACAGAAGGGGTAGCAATTCGTATTGCCTTCATTTGATAACTAATGCTGGGTTTTTACTTACAGTATAACCAATGAATTAATTATATACATATTTACGTAAAAATATTGTCAGTCTACTTAATGCTACGTGTGTAATCAGGTGGAAGTAAGAAGAGTAAGAGTTACCGGAGCTTTTGAGAAGTTATCATCTTTTAAAGCTTCAGTAGGCGTTAGTTCATATTCTCTGCGACTCTCAAAGAGAAGAGGCTTATTTCAGTTTGTGGTGTTAAGGCGCCCTCTGCTGTTTGCAGAGCAGTGATAATTCAAGTCTTGCACTCGCATGTGCGACTGTGTGCAAGCTGTGACTCATTCAGCAAATCGGTAAAACTTGCACTGACTGGCAGAGGTTATTGAAACATTCTCACGTAATGAGGAAACCACTTTATACAATGCAAAAGCCTTTGTTAGAAAAATTAATATAGTTTTATTTTTTTATAATGTCAGAGAAGTACATAACTTCTATATTAGGCTATAAAATATCAACTACTGTTGATGTGCAACACAACACTTCCTGAAATAAACTGTCTGGCTGAATAGACGGTTAGTGCTTGACTTGAGGTTATTGGAGCAGATTGTACTGCGAGACTTGTTATAACGCGATATATAAAATAGTAACACCTGCTGAAAACTCATATGTAATGTAAATGAAGCCTGGTATAGCTATGAGCGCCTGCTGGATATTATTTTTAAATTGATGGCAAATAAAGAATAAAAGTGTGATCATAATGATTGGATTGTGGCTTTCCTGAATATCCTTATAGTTTGGGATACTTAAAAAATAAAAATTTGCTTAAACAGTCACATTGTGTGTCTCAAACCTTCAGTGCGTTTTGTTGACGTAAGCACTTTTCAGCACTTGAATATGGAAATTAGATTGAGATTGCATCTCAGTGATGAAACACGAACAACAAACAAGACTTACTAACAAAATAAAAATTAAATGAGCTCATTTCAATAAATCAGAAAGTGTTTTCACTGACTGCTCTTCAAAATCTGTTCGGGTAAATCATAATTCAAAAAGTTAATGATTAAAAAACTTAATGGAGGGTGGAGAAAATTATACAAGCTGGACACGTCGTGCCTTTGCTGCCACCTAGTGGTGGGGCAGCTGTCCGAGTCCTTCGGTGACTTCAGCGCTTCAGAGTTATCTAAGAAAAGTTTTGGGGCGTTTTTGCTGAATACACGGTTGTTGTGATTGGCTGGCGTGAGGTTTAGGCGGTGATGAGCAGACCTGCACTTTGAATTTGACTTTTCTGTTAGAATTGTTAGAAATTGTGGAGTTTTATGCTTCAAACGGAACAACTATTACAGTTTATACTTGCAAGTAAGTGCTTTACTCATGGGTATGTTTGCGTTTCCACAAATGTGTCCCAGGTGCCTAAAACTAAATGTTTTTCTTACATCTTTTTTCAATCTGTATTATAAGTCATATATAAGTCATATAAGTGTTTACACGATAATTTATCCCAACTATATACCACAGAGATAAAAATTGTCCCAGCTGTTGTCTGAAACATATTTTGTCTCCAGCAATAACTTCTATGCACACTTTCTTTATGTCCTTATTTCATTAGATTACCAGGAAATTCATTTCCACAAAATACGGCTCATGTGTGTCTCTTTTTTGTTGTTTTCTTTTCTTGTGTTGCTGTTGTTACAATTCACAAGTCTAGAAAATTACATGTAAAAATCCATAAAGAGGAAAAGCCTACAAGATATTAAAGATTATTATAGCAGGGATGCCAGAGACTTAACATAGCATTAATAAGTAATTAATAATTAATTAACAAATTTAAAAAAGGCTTAATGCAGGTTTTGGGGCATTTATTTATTTATTTTTACAGTTTGAGCATCTTTGTTCAATCGCCATGCATCTTTGCTAACCTGAATTTCATGTGATTTGTATCAAAGTTCAAGAATGATGGTAAAGATGATTTTATTTTTAGTTTTGAGTCCAGTTTTTTAATTGAACACTTCTCAATAAAAACTCTGTTTTTGTTTGTTTGCTCGTTTTGTGTGTTTTAATGAAATCCTGGTGATTATGTCAGTGAAATACCTTTAAAATATAATTATTCATTCGTGCATTTGAACACAGAAATTTCCAGTCTACCCAACTCAAGACGTCATTTTAAAAGTGTGGATTTTGAATGGTTCATTGGTGATTCGTGGTGATGCAATGATTCATTCCAAAGAACTGACTAAAGTGGTTTATTTGTGAACTGGTTTAATATTTTCTCACACCAATTTAGGTTAAATCAATGTAAGAAAACTGTTTTCATAGATTTTAGCTTGTACTGACATGGGATCTTTTAAAAATAAATATTACCCATTATTGTGTTTTTCATAGTTTTAAAGTTTTAAATGGTCAAGGAAAAAGGCTACATTTACTTTACTGTAAAAATCATTTTTATTTCCTTTTTATATCCTTTGTCGCGTGTAATGCTAACACCCTTCCTTTAATAAAGTCTTTACATCAGCACAATATTTACATAAAACACAGCAGACGTGAAACAGCAGACGTGAACAGTCTATAAGTCTATAAGAAACATGTAAACTTAAAAACAAACGGCAAAATACAGGAAATACAAAAGCAGTGTTTCACAGATTAATACATATTGAGATACACTCATGGAATGTGTCAAACTAAATGGCTTCACACCTTTTCAAATAGGAATGTTTCATAGTGAGGCTCGGTCTTATTGTGTCATGTCCTTTTGAGCTTGCCAAAAATTAAATTCCGAAATTCCAGCGTGAACTAAATCTATCATTTATTGTTATGCTGACTGAATAATATGGACTTATTATTTTTAAGCTGTTCTTCTGATTAATTTGGGGCTTTTTCCTTTAATGGGCTATTTAGGTCTTGAATCCTTCCTGTCTGCACTCAATTAAGTTTTTGGTTTTCATCTTACATATACCGCTCTAATCCTGACGCAAAGTTGGCTTGTCTCATGTAAGTGTTGTTGTAGTTCATGGGGCTGGAGAGGCCCAGTAGCTGCTCCGAGTGCTCGGCGCAGGAGCTCGGGCGCAATGCCGGTAGGGAGAGCCGGTTGCTCGTACAGTACACTTGGGAGCTGCCCGGGGAGAATCCGGACTGGGTCATGGTGGGTAGATTTGGAGGAGACGCCGGAGAGGAATATGGGTACCCGGTGGTCAGGTTGGATGAAAGGTTCCCGCTGTTTCTGCTCAGCATGTTCGCTGACGGGTTGACAGTCTGAGTCTGGAAGCAAGCAGACGGGTCGGTGCCGGTTACCGAGCAGCTGGAGGTCATAGTGCTCAGATCGCCTCCACCCAGCCCCAGCGCTTGGGAGTTGAGGTCCCCACCTGGGCCGCTCTGCACAACCGTCTGCTGACTGATGATGTTGTCGATGCTGAACATGCGCGGCTGTCCTTGGCTGACTCCAGCAGAGGTCTGGTAATGATGCAGCATGGCTGGGTGTGGGGATGTGGCCGTCAGCTGAGAGCCGTAACCTGACCCTATGCCGGCATACAGGGCGTTTGGATACGAAGGCCTTCCCATTGGCGTTGGCGTAAAAGCGCTGGAGCTCTGCATGTAACCGGGGTATGTGCTAACGTCTGTGCGCTTGAATCTTTTCCTTCTCCTCAAAAAACTTCCGTTGTCAAACATGTCCTCAGCTGCGGGGTCTAACGTCCAGTAATTGCCTTTACCTGGTCTGCCGGGCTCCCGGGGGATCTTCACAAAGCAGTCATTGAGCGTGAGGTTGTGGCGGATTGAGTTCTGCCACTTCTTCGAGTTCTCCCTGTAGAAAGGAAAGCGCTCCATTATGAACTTATAAATGCCCCCTAAGGTGAGCTTCCTCTCCGGGGAGTTAGCAATGGCCATGGCGATGAGAGCGATGTAGCTGTAGGGAGGCTTCCCCCTCTGGACGGGCCTCTTCCTCCTGCGGCTCCCCGTGGGCAGGTGCTCTTCAGTCTGACCCAGAGCGCCTCCGTCCTCCGTGTTGGGACTGTTTCCTCGGGGCTCGGACTTGATCAAAATGCTTTCCTTTGACCGGGCCTGTAGCATCAAAGGCGGCGGAGGCAGCGGCGAGTCCAGGCTCACATTTGGAGACATGACAACAGGACTTGCCTCGGCAGGTGATTGCTCTGCGGTCATGTTGCACATGCCAGAGAAGTAGGAATAATTTGCTAGATTCATAAAAGAACCAATGCAACGATCGCCTTTTTGTCGAAATGATCAGCAGGGGAAAGAATCAACCAGGTGCTTGTACAGCCCCTTGCTCTGGCCCCTATCCTGCCCTGGTGTTTGGGGTAGTGTGTGTGTCAGTTCAGGTGAGAGAAAGGCGTTGACAGTTTTATATGACAGGGCAGGAATGACGCCACTGAGTAGCCAGTGACGACTGAGGCAGGAGGACCCACCGAGTACTCACCCAGAAATTGTCAATTTTCTAACAGACTGCTGTTTATAAAATACAAAGACTTGCATGTAATGCTAAATTTTTAGATTTTAAAAAAGTGTTGTATTTTTACATTGTAGGATTTAACATCTTTAATCAGAAGAGGCCCAAATATGGCAGAACCAAACAATAAAATTGCATTTATTTGTCATTCTCACATGGATGTAATGTTTGAGACACTAACAAAAATTTTAGTGGTGATGCATTCTCTGTCTCTCTCTCTCTTTCTCCTTGTGTGTCTGTATCTCAGCTGCTCTCTCTGTGCTTTCACTAATGCCTGTGTGTATATCCAGGGCAGAAACAACACTCGGAGAGCTGCTCCATGCTACTCCAAACCCAACAGCCAATCCACCAATTGAAAAATAATAACAAGCCACTGAAAACAAGCAATTGAGCTATCAAAGCTTTTGGGCAAGAAAAGTAAATATCCCTTCATTTCATTTTCATTTTTGGAGAGCGATAATCAAACACTCCCCGTGGTGTAGAGGAGAGGTGTTATCTTATGGATTTTGAAGTAAAAACAGGGTTGTGCACACAGTTGGTATGCAGACAACACTCTTTGAAGACCAGAACCTGAGAGTGCTTTTAAATGATCATTCAGGCAAAAAAAAGAAGGTTGAAGTTAATTGCAAAGGTAAAACGCACAGAGATGAACTACCAGTGTTTAAAATGTGGGTTAAGGTGTTGAAGCGAGCTGAAGGGAAGCTTAATAATGTCAATGACATCCAAGCAACAAATTAAAGGAAAACCGAGGATAGAAGTGGTGGAATCGCTGGAAGATTTCATAAGTAAATATTACGTGAGCAGTATTATAAGTCATGCAATCACCAAAAATCTAATTCAACAACAACATGTCACACAAGGTTACATTTTTTGGTAGAAGGGTCAAATCTATGACAAACTAAACTGGGAGCATGCATTTGCCAGACACCATATTGGAATGTTTTTTATTGTTTTTCCTTTTAGTTGATCTCCCAATTATTACTGTACAAATATGTGGTAAATTATTGACAACTAGGTAGTAGAGGTGGGAATCACCATACATCCCACGATACGATATTATCACGATACTTAACGCACGATACGATATTATTGTGATTTTTTAAAATATTTTGCGATATTCAGATTCTGTACATAAAGGTAAACTTTATCAATATTCATTTTATCTAATATCAAAGTCTCACACTCAGTCTTTCTCTCATTTCAGTTTTATTGTTGACAAACTGAACGGTTTGTATTACAGTCTAGTCCAACTTAACTGAATCAACCATCTGGTACAATTATAGCTATTCTGAACTATGCAGTTTATGAAAACTATGGAGCCCCTTCAGCAACTGAAGAATTTGAAAGGAAATTAAAACAAAATATAATTTTACATTAAATAAAAAAGTTTTCAACTTAATTAAAATAAAACATGTCTTAAATTAAAATAAGTAAACTGTCACATTTGGACAGTGAAGGAATGTCAGGATTCTTGCTCAGAAAAAGGATCAACATGCTCTGAAGTCAGAGCACAAAAACCTTTTTTGTAACAAAATATCGATTTCTGCTGTCCCTGTATCGATACATTATTAGCAAACAAAATATCACGATACTACACAGTATCGATTTTTTCCCCCACCCCTACTAGGTAGAACAGATCCATGGAGACAGAGCGATGATGTTCAAAAGAAGAAAGATGAGATGGCTCGTTTTCCTTCCAACATGAGTAACACAAATAAAAAAGTTTTGACAACAGCCAGACCAAAGCTATTAATCATCGCTGCCCACTCTTCTCCCAGATGCCTTTTCCCCCCGATCACCCTCTCTCTGCCAGCACACAGTAGCTGCCACCCCTTCCCACAGATGACTGGACCCCTCCCCACCCAGCCACAGCTCAGACAACACTAAGCCCAGCTAGCTACTCACAGCCAGTGGCTAACAGCTTCAGACAGGCGTGGGAGCGGGGATGTATCCAAGCAGGATCTGCCCCCAGAGCTGTCAGGTCAGGCAGGACAAACAGGGGCTCAGGCCAGGAAACGAGGCCTTCTGCCTCGGGGCCTGCGGCCTCTTGCTAATCCCCACGCTGACCACCTCATTACCCTGTCAGAGCCTTCACACCTCTCTGTACCTCAACACTATCAGTACATTAGTCATGTTGTACGGCCAGTATGTGTGCTTGTTTCTCTGTCACACCGTACTTTTAATTACTTTATTATGTTGTGGCTAGTCAAGAAAAAGCCTGCTATAGTAAAACATTTTAAATGAAGTCTATGGATGTGGGAAAATTAACCTAAAATGTAGAACAACAGAAATTACCAGCACCCAAAAAGTGGAAGTTTTATCTTAGAGTCCAAAAACCCTGCTTAATTCTTAATAACTGCAAGAATAGTGACTAAAACTAACTCCAACTCTTATCTGCAATCCAGTTGTTTAATAGTTTAATAGCATTAGAACATTTTTCATCAAATTAAACTTTCATACATTTGCTATTTTTTTTATATTTAACTGTATATTAGACTGTAGTCAGTCAGTTGGAGTAACTTCACTGGTGGGAAATATTTGGGGGTTTTTTTCGTTAAAAAAAACCTGACTTCCTTAGACGCCTCTGAACCTACGCTCTATTCTAAAGCGAGATGAATCATGCATCATATCGACAGGATTTTAACTGGAAACTATTTGGTAAGTGACAAATTATTTTAACGTAGAATCCCCCAAATTCACTAGTAAACAGAAGTCACAGACCTTCTCTAACATACAGAGCAGAGCATATATTTATAAGTGCATGAAGACAGAATATGAACAGGTAACTTTTTTCACCAACATCAGTTAAACGTCGCAGCCACTGTGCTTTAAAGGGTAAACATGAACTAACAAGACTTTTTTTAGTTCCACCCGTTCCGCTGCGCATTAACCTAAATATCTAATCAGCCACTCACATCACAACTTAATGCATTTAGACATGGTCGAGTCAACATGCTGAAGTTCAAACTGAGCATCAGAATAGAGAAGAAAGTTGATTTAAGTGACTTTGAATGTGATATGGTTATTAGTACCACATGTACTGGTCAGAATATTTCAGAAACTGCTAGTCTACTGGGATTTTCCCACAAAATCATATTCAGGGGTTACAGAGAATGGTCTGAAAAGGAGAAAAATATCAACTGAGAGCTGATAGGAAAGCAACAGTAACTCAACTAACCGCTTGTTACAACCAAGGTGTGCAGAATAGCATCTCTGATACAGTCCTCACAGATTCGCCAGAATTGCACAATAGATTGAAAAGCATTGTCTTGTCTGACGAGTCATGATTTCTGCTGCCACATTCAAATGGTACAGAAAGGAATTTGGTATAAACAACATGAAAACATGGATCCTTCCTGCCTTTAACTAACAGCTCAGGCCTCTGCTGGTGGTGTAATCATGTGGGGGATATTTTTTCATGCACTTCGGGTTGCTTAGTACTGACTGAGCATCATTTAAACACCACAGACTGCTTAAATATGCTCGATGGACACGTCCGCCCTTTTATGACCACAGTGTACCCTGCTTCTGAAGTCTCCTTGCAAGAGGATGACACACTACCACAAAGCTCAAATCACCTCAAACTGGTTTCTTGAAGATGACAATGACTTCACTGTATAGTCATCTACAGTCACCAGATTTCGGTCAAATAGACTTTTGGGATCTGCAGCTGATAAATCTGCATCAGTGGGATGATGCTATCATGTCAATACTGAATGTTTCCAG